CTGCAACTACTACAGAAAACAGTACAGAGGTTCCTCGATTTAAAACAGAACTGCCATATGACACAGCAACTCCACTTCTGGGTATTTATCTGAAGAAAATGAACACACTAACTTGAAAAATACATGCACCCCATATTCACAGCAGCACTGTTTACAAAAGCCAAGACATGGAAGCCACCTAAGTGTCCACTGATGGAGGGATGGGTCAAGATGTGGTATATGTAACCAATCGAACATTATTATTCAGCCATAAAAATTTTGCCATTCGTAACAACACAGATGGACCTTGAGGGCATTATGCTAAGTGAAATAAGTCAGAGAGAGAAAAACAAACACCTGTGATCTCACTTACATGTGGAATCCTAACACACACACACACACACACACACACACACACACACACAAAACCAAGCTCACAGGCACAGAGAACAGACTACTGGTTGCCCGAGTTGCAGGTGCAGGGAGGTGGGAGGGACAAGGGTACAAACTTCCAGGTGTAAAACAGGTAAGTCACAGGACATGATGTGCGGCACTGTGACTATACCTAGTGGTCCTGCAGTGCATACTTGAACGTTGCTAAGTGAGAGTAGATATTAAACGTTCTCATCACAAGAAAAAGAATTCTGTAACAGTAGTGACAGACATCAACTAGACTTATTATGGCGATCACTTCACAATATACAGAAACATCCAATTGCTAAGTCGTACACATGAAACTAATATAAGGTTACATGTTTTTTAAAAAAATCCACAAGCTGGAGTAGCCTGGCCCTGACCCATCAGCCACAAAGGACCCTGGCCATGACCTCACGGGTTGACAGTCCTGGACTGTCTGCCCCATCACCAGTGCTGGCTCTTCCTCGTCGCCTCTCTGGCTTCACAGTCCCCGTCCCTGTCCCCGGACGCAGGCTTCCAGTTTCTTCTTCGACCCCAGCCTGCTTGGCCGGCGGCCTCTCCCGGACGAGTTCTCCAGTGCCCCCAGTCCAGCACCCACAGCGCCCCAGGGACTCCCTGACTCCGGCTGTTTACTGACAGCTTCTATCTAGGTCACATCTAGGGCTTTCCAACTTAACGGGCTGGAAAGCAAATTCGGTGTTTCCTCCCCACCCTCTTCCTCGGCCGCACATGCAGGACACACACTCGTGAACAGCCACCCCACCCAACCTGATAGGTCCCTTTTTCTCAAATCACCCCTTTCCTTGACCTCTGTGATACCACCCTATTCAATACGGGTCTCTAAATGAGCCCACTTACTTTCCACACTTTGGAAAAATCTATGAGACACATCTGCTCAGCACTGGAGGCAGAAATGTGTTCGGATGGAGGTGCAATTCACACAGCCTCTCGGATCAGGGCATCACCCCCCCCCCAAGGCTCCTCCTAGTCCACCACTCCTCTGGGTCCCTCAAATACCATCGCTGCCTTCTGCTGCTCACTTCCTCTCTTAAATGCAATGAAGCCTGAATAGGCAGGGGTGCTGATCTGTGAAAAGTACCTAACAGTAGGTTGCAGGCAAGTTCTCATTTCAAAACGACTTCAAACGATTTCAAATAATGGGTGCATCTGAATGGGGTGGGGGGCTGCCTTTCCTGCAGTGAGGGGTCTGGATGAGGGGTGGCCATCAGCAGCTGTTTGTTTCTGGTACTAGGCGCTCGGGGCGGGGAAGGGGGGCAGGTGGCACCAGTGTCTACCTCTAGAATCCACACTGCCAGCTCCCAGGGAGAAAGGAACTCAGGCAACTGCATTTTCCCACTCAGTGGGTGTGATTGACCAAGATGTGCCCTTTAAGTTGCCACTCCAAAGAAACAGTCGCATCTGAGGCATGCTCCGGGGAGGCTGGGGGAGCTCTGCCTGCTTCCCACAGCGCGGAGACCCCACTCTCCAGGGAATGTTTGCATTGTCTGCCCAACTCGGGTTTTCTCAGATCGGATCAAAACCAGGAGAAATGACTCATGTTATTCAGAGGCACTGAAGCTGGCAAACCAATAATTTACCCTAAATTTACAAGGGAGGATTACTGTGCCTTTTAAATGTCCAGGGCATACGTTTGGAGTATTCTGCACACTAGCGTCCCTTGAGCTCTGCTTAGATGTCAGGTTGTGAGTGAACTAAGCAACATTTCCCATTTCCCTCAGAACACCAGATCCAGAAGATGCTTCCTGGTTCTGTGAACAAATGGAAGTTGGCAAGTGTCCCACATCATGGAGTCGTCCTACAGAGTCCCAATGCACATAATAATAATAAAGGCACTGAAAAGTCCTGAAGTGGAAAACCTGCTTAACATTAGCATTTCTCGAGTACATTTTACCCCTGTAACTCTTTAGTAATTTCTCAGTAAAACTGCCTCCAAGCACACCACTGTGTAAACTCTGCTCTGGTCATACTCTGCAAGGGGTGCCTCTGAGCACGACCGCCTCTAGCAAGTGAGCGGTGATAGAGCAAAATGATGACTGGGCCTGAAGCCCTGTGGTTCCAACGCGGGTGCTTTGACCTCTCCAGGCCTCTGCCTTCTCACCTACCAAATGAAATTATTAGTATCATTGTAAGAAACAACTGAAATATTATCTGTAAAAGCATCTTACAAAGCACTATAAAAATATGATTATCTGCCAAGGACATACTTAACTGCAGTGCAGCTCCTCAAAGTGCTTTCACAAAGGGATCCTTTTGCTTGTTCTTTCAACACCCATTCCTTAAGTGTTAGGCAGTGAGAGCTATGAGCTGGCTTCCACCCCT